CGCTACCACGCCCACCTGATTTTTTGATTTATTGTAGAGATGAGGTCTTGCTGCCCAGGCGGGCCTCGAACCCACGGGCTCAGGCAACTTGGCAAGACCTCGTTTCTACAGTAAATTAAAAAAATTAGCCGGGCGTGGTAACACGCACCCTGTAGTTCCAGCTACTTGGATGGCTGAGGCGGAAGGATCGCCAGAGCCCAGCAGGTGGAGGCTGCGGTGGCCGGGAGGGTGCCACTGCACTCCAGTCTGGGTGACAGAGTGAGACTCCAACTCAAAAAAGAAAAAAAAAGTGAATGCTGTGATAAGGCATCTGGAAACCAGCAGACAGTTGTTAGACATAATTAAATTTACCAAGGTTTCGATGTTATTTATACTGCAGTAGAAAAATTAGAAGATAAAAATATTAGAAGGGGACATAGGGGAACAGTTCAGTTCCCACCTCAGAAAACACTAACTGGGAATGGGATACTAAACAGTGACTCTGGAAAGGGGTTTGATTTAAATATCTTTTGGTGAGGATATGGGATAGTAAGTTATATAGCTGTTGTTACCAACATATAATTGTCCAGTGAGAGGAAGGCCACCTATCGTTCTACAATAATGAGGCTGATCCCAGCCATATTCCAAAGGAAGTAAGATCTGGAGCATTAAGTGCCTCTCATTAGGATGGAATCTCCCCACTGCCTTCTGCTCTGTTCTTAGACTAATTAATGATGCCGATGTGGAGGTCATAAGAAAAGGGAAGCTAAATTTCCAGACAATAACACTAAGGAAAATTACAAATGGTGATGTTCAGTGGCTACTTTTTAATTTTCAGTGTGATATGCCTTTAAGTGTGCCTTTAGAGTGCTTTTCTTAGTCACAGGCTTGGTAAGAATGATTAAGAGGCTTCATATGATTCTTGCAATTCTGGATTAGTCACCTAGATGAAGATAATATTTATAACTATATTATACTTCTTTTTTTGTATTGTAGAGATGAGGTCTCACCATGTCATCCAGGATGGTCTCAAAATCCTGGGCTCAGGCAAACTAGGATTACAGGCATGCCTGGCATGCTTACTTTTTCTTAGGACTAATTTATGTTTATTATACACTTCAAGTTGATTTTTTTGTTTTTTTGGAGTTGGAGTCTCACTCCATTGCCCAGGCTTGTACAATGGCACGCTTATGGCCACCGCAGCCTTGCCCTGCTATGTTCAGGTGATCTTTCTGCCTCGGCCTTCCAAGTAGCTGGAACCACGGCGCACACCACACAACCAGCTAATTTTTTGATTTATTGTAGAGATGGGATTTCACCAAGTTCCCCAGGCTGGCCTCAAACCCCTGGGCTCAGGCAGTCCTCTCACCTCCACCTCCCAAAGTGCTGGGATTACAGGCATGAGCTACCGCACCTGGCTTACAAAAATAAAATGTAAAAAGAAATTTTTTTCTTTTGAGTTGGAATCTCACTCTTGTCGCCCAGGATGGTGTGCAGTGGCATGCTCACGGCCACCACAGTCTCGACCTGCTGGGCTTAGGTGTTCCTTCCGCCTCAGCCTTCCAAGTAGTAAAAGGAATTTTTTTTTTAAGTTTAGAAATATTTCTACCAGATTGTTTTTTGAATCTTAACCTTATTCAGATGATAGATTTTGTTATATATGTTACTTTAGAGGTGTCTCTAAAATTGTATAAGCAAAGTCTTGATTTATATTTTAGATTTGTCTGTGATGGCTGTTTAAAGAAAACTGCACGAACTAGGAAAGAAAATAAGTTTTCTGCTAAAAGTAAGTTTCATTCTTACAGGTAAATCTTGGCAGAACTTCTGAAACCTAGTTAAGAAGAAACCATTCAAAATGAATTAGTTTGTATTTAATCAGAGTAGTGATCTGAGTCAAAATAAAATAAGTCTGTAATCTAGTAAAAGGCAATCTATAATATACTTTTTGATGTGAAGTTCATTAGACTAAGATAAAAATTTCTAAGGAAAGAATTTGTAAAATGTTTCTGTATAATGTTTTCTCTATTGCTACTTTTTTTCCTTATTGGGGCACTTCATAATGGTAGCCAGATGTGGAAATGATGGGCCAGAATTACCATCCTATGAGTGATTCCCTCAATTTAGTCCATACCATTTTGGGAGCTACTTTATGTGATTTTTCCTATTATGAAAGAAGGTGTCAAATTTTATTATACAAGTAATTGACATGAATAATCTCAATGTAATATTTGGTTTAGTTTTATAGTATTTTGCTGACCTATAGATTGCTTTGATTTTTATAATGTTTCTCAAAATGCTCCACCTTTATTATTTTAAAATATTGCCATCTGCTAGGCAAAGCACATATAAATGTTCATTGTTCTATATTTTTAACTCTTCCAAAATCAGAAATGGGAAGTTGGGCAACCCCTCTGGTCCCCTCCCACTGTGGGAGCTTTTCTGTCCTCTTAATAAATCTTGCTTTTAAAAAAAAATCTGAAAAGTTGGGGAAAGTGATACTTAGAAATGATTGAGTACTGTGTCTGCTTTAACAGCACATACACTAAAATTGGAAAGGTCCCTGCATAAGTATGATATGCCCATCTGCAAAGTATTGACTGCCTTGCTAAGTTTTTTAAATTCCAGGAAGTTATCCTATTTGTATTGAAAAAAGTACAAATGAGATTTGAGATTTTGCCCTTAAGACTGACAGTAATACATTTTTGCCTTGGTAACATAATCTTTACATTCCTAGGGTTGCCATCTACCAGGCTTGGCACCTTTTTGGAGAATCGTGTGAATGACTTTCTGAGGCGACAAAATCACCCAGAGTCAGGAGAAGTCACTGTAAGGGTAGTTCATGCTTCTGACAAAACTGTGGAAGTCAAACCAGGCATGAAAGCAAGGTATCTAGCTAGTCATTTTCTATTTCTTTCTCTCCTGGGTCCACAGTTGTTCATATGTGGTTACTGTTGGTGATTCCAGTCTGAAAAAGGAATGTTGTGGTCCCTCCACCCTCCTTTTGAATTGTACAGGTTTGTGGACAGTGGAGAGATGGCAGAATCCTTTCCATACCGAACCAAAGCCCTCTTTGCCTTTGAAGAGATTGATGGAGTTGACTTGTGCTTCTTCGGTATGCATGTTCAGGAGTATGGCTCTGACTGCCCTCCACCCAACCAGAGGTATGACTTTATGGCTAGCTCCTAATTTGGGGGGAGGGGGGCATTCAAGTTGTAAGATGTAGAAAAGCATAAGGGGCAAAAAAATGTTTGGTATGCTTGGCTTGGAAATGCAAAATCTCAAGTGTCCAATAGTATTAAAGTGAAACAGATTCAAAAACCAATCCAGATAATAGAAAATAACTGCTCAATACTGTTCTTTTGTGGTCATATTCATAAAGAAGAGGATATGAGCCTGAAATTGGAATTTGGAAACAAATGCTACTGTTCAGGAAATGTGCTTAAATCTAGATTGTTAAGTATTTCTCTGAGTTATGTCATACAGATTAGGGTAGAATTTTCTTATCTCCTGAAATAGTATAAAGGCCATAATAAGAATGCTACCAAAAAACGTTGAATCAGCAAATATTGATTGATGTAGTATGTGCCAAGCACTGCGAGGTGCTTACAGGTATGATGAAGCCACAGGCTCACTAAACTTCCCTAAAGGATCCACAGTCTAGTTTTCACCTGACTATGCTGAGAATTGTGAATGACATTGTGATCCAGAAGTATGGGAGAGTGGGAAAGGTGTTTTTAGCTATCTGGAAAAAGAATTTATTATGTAACTTGACTTGTTTTTTTTCCTCCTGATTTGATAGGAGAGTATACATATCTTACCTCGATAGTGTTCATTTCTTCCGTCCTAAATGCTTGAGGACTGCAGTGTATCATGAAATTCTAATTGGATACTTAGAATATGTCAAGAAATTAGGGTAAGCATATTGATAAAGAACATTTCCTTAAAGAAATATAATTAATGTGGTATTCTGTTGAGATATAGGCTAAAATGTGCAGATATGTAACCTTTTGCCTTCTTTCCAACTTTGTTGTCTCCCCTTTGAAGTTAATGGGGCCAGTAGGAAAGAAATGGATATTTTGACACTAGTTCCACCCATCCCACATTCATTTTGTTCAGTTCCGCATGTAGGTACATTTTGGAATTTGGTTTGTTCCTCATTTGAGGACAGAATCTTTAACTGCACTTGTGATCCTTTTATACCTGAGTATGCAGACCAAAAATCACTCTAGAGATATTTCTTAGCTTTAAAGTACATATGTCCTTGAGAATATTCACCAGCTCTTCTTGAAGTTTTCTGCTTTTCAACAATTTGCCTTTGTTAAAGTAGTTCCCTTGTTAAAGTAGGCTCGTTTTCCTTTGAACTGCTACCTTCAGTTGGTCTTAAAATGCAAATTTGGAGATTTTGGATCCAGGGCTAAGTCATTCCCTTTATGAAAGCACTCCTCAGTGACCTCTAAAAGAAGTTGAGATCCATTATTGGTTGTGTGGGTTATGCCTAGCTCTGGCCTCACGATGTTAATCTGATATTAGGTTTTGCACTCTGTGTTACCTTGGAAGAAACCATTGGTTTCAATATTGGCTCCACTTTGTGACTTAAAGTATAGCATTCTATCTAGAATGGATGGTCTTTTCTCTTTAATGATCCTTCTCTTTGTGTTGTTAGATACACAACAGGGCATATTTGGGCATGTCCACCAAGTGAGGGAGATGACTATATCTTCCATTGTCATCCTCCTGACCAGAAGATACCCAAGCCTAAGCGACTACAGGAGTGGTACAAAAAGATGCTTGACAAGGCTGTGTCAGAGCGTATCGTCCATGACTACAAGGTCAGTTGGAGCATGGGGAGGGAACAGTAGTTTGGAAATGTAATAATCTTACTGCTTTGTATTTTATTATTTAACTTATTTTAAACTAAAGTCTTCTGTTCTACCTCTTCATGTAATTTGTAGAATTCGATAAAGTATTTTTATTTTGTATATTCAGAATTTTCAAAGTAAAAAAACCCAGCTTCTGAAAAAAATCCCTTTTTTAGACATTCAGTTAATTAAAATGTATTCTTAATAGAATATTATAAACATTCATGAATATGGGTTATTCATGATATGAACATGAACTACTAAATTGGAGAAAAACATCAACTGGATGTTTTCCCAAGCAGCCCTGCAAATCATTCTAAAGCAACTAGTTTTGAATATTTGTAGTTTTGGTTGTTCTGAACGTAGTTCAGTTAAAGCTGTGGAAATTCCAAGAATAAGTGCAAGGAGGAGGGGTATGCCTTACATCACATGTCATTCTGTCAAAAGGTATGGATGGTAAAGGCTACATCGTATGCCGCTGCATCATTGAACCTGGGAGGCTCACTTGGCACTTAGTTCTTCTATAAAGGCATATAAACGTTCTGCCTTTGTAGGTTTAAAAAAAAAAAACACCGGAAATACTAACTTCAGATCAAGTCTTTTCACTATTTATGACACTGCATACCTCCCTGACATTTGACTTAGGTATAAAATCTCTGCCAGCTTCCAGAAGACGTTTTTATCTTTTTTAAAAATACGGGGCCGGGCTCGGTGGCTCAGTCTGTAATCCCAGCACTTTGGGAGGCCAAGGCGAGTGGATTGCTAGAGCCCGCAGGTTCAAGACCCACCCGGGCAACTCAGCGAGACCTCGTCTCTACAATAAATCAAACACTAGCCAGGCGTGGTAGCGCGTGCCTATAATTCCGGCTACTTGGAAGGCTGAGGCGGAAGGATCGCCGGAGCCCAGCAGGTCGAGGCTGTGGTGGCCAGGAGCGTGCCACTACACTCCAGTCTGGGCGACAGACTGAGACTCCAACTCAAAAAAAAAAAAAAAAAAATGGATTACTTGGGTTAATGTACAAGACGTTTTAATCTTTCATGTTTCGTGTGTCAGCTGTGCTTTTAAAAACACCACAGAAATTCCTATTTGTATGTGGATATTTTTGCAGGATATTTTTAAACAAGCTACTGAGGATCGATTAACAAGTGCAAAGGAATTGCCTTACTTTGAAGGTGATTTCTGGCCCAATGTTCTGGAAGAAAGCATTAAGGAACTGGAACAGGAGGAGGAAGAGAGAAAGCGAGAAGAAAATACCAGCAATGAAAGCACAGATGTAAGAGCACTGTTTCCTTTCCAATTTCTATCTATTATGTAATCCAGAAGCAAGCGTAAATGTTCAATTTGGTTTTAAAACTCTCAGGTGTGAAAGAGCTCTTTATATTGGATAAAAAAGTGTTGGCTTAGAAAAGTTACTAGGGTTCTATTTCCATGGTTCCACTTTGACCAGACCCCCTTTTAAAATGATTATCTCAGACTTTGAAGAATATAAACTAATAAAAAGAAACAGAAGGAGTTCCTGAAAAACTGATAGAAAATTACTTAAGGGACCAGACTATGAGCTGGGTGCAGTGGTTCACGCCTATAATCCCAGCACTTTGGGAGACTAAGGTGAGAGGATTGCCTGAGCCCAGGGGTTCGAGACCAGCCTGGGCAACATGGCAAGACCTCGTCTCTACAGTAAATCCAAAAATTAGCCAGGCGTGGTGGCGCGCGCCTGTAGTTCCAGCTACTTAGAAGGCTGAGGTGGAAAGATCACCTGAGCCTAGCAGGTCAGGGCTGCGGTGGCTGTGAGTGTGCCACTGTACTCCAGCCTGGGTGACAGAGTGAGACTCTGATTCAAAAAATAAATAAAGGACCAGACTATCAATCTACGAATATATTTTAGGCCTTGTGGGCCACATATCATCTCTGGCATATTCAGTTCTCTCTTTTTTTTTCTTTTTTTTGGATTCAGGGTTTTACTGTCACCCAGGCTGGAGTGCAGTAGCATGATCACAGCTCACCCTCAGCTTTCTGGGTTCAATCAGTCCTTCTGTCTCAGCCTCCCAAGCAGTTAGGACTACAGGTGCACACCAAGACATTGGCTAATTTTTCATAGAGATAGGGCTTCACTGTGTTGCCTAGACTGGTCTCAGACTCCTAGACTCAAGCAATCCTTCTGTCCCAGGCTTCCAGAATGCTGGGATTACAGGCATGAGTCACAGTGCCAGGCCTAAATAACCCTTCTTATAATAGGTAAAATATATTCATTCCTGGCTATATAAAAACAGGCCTGGACCTAATTGGCCTGTCTTCCATTTAGAACCTGGCTTAGTAATCTCATCATTTATTTCCCCATAGCATATCTAGAATTATCTCCATTGGATCTGATTTACTAAAGTCGTCCTTAAATAGTCCGTTACAACATGAACTCTTTTTTTTAAGTTTTAAGTTTTAAAACAGTTTATTAGCAAGAAGAGGAGAAGAGAAAAGGAAGATTCATGGCATAAATACCTGCCATGGACAAGTTTCTCAAAAAAGAAAAATTGCCACAACATGAACTCTTTGTAGCCTTGTAGTTTTAAGTTCAGTGACTAAATGGATTTCAGGGTGTTTTTGTTTTGTTTTGTTTTTGTAGGCTCATAAAATTCTAGAATATGAGTAGAAGGAGTTGCAGCCAAAGTCTACTGGCTTCCCACTTCCATGCACTCTGCCACCCATTCTTTGTTCCCCAGCCCCAAATCTGGGATGCATTCCATCAGCAGGGTCTACATACAAACTCTGTGTTTCTTCTATACAAAAGCTAAAAGGCTGGCGTTGCCTTAATGAAGGAGTTTCCTCATGGTAGAAAATTAGGTCAAATATATTACTGTAAATAACAGCTTGAAAAGAAGAATATGTGAAGAAAGCAGCTAGTAACACTAAGATGAGCATAAGATTATATTCTCATTTCAAAGAAGGAAGAGTCTTCTTACCTTCAGCATTATTTCCAAATCACTTCTTAACAAAAACTTTAGCATTTTCTTGTTTCCTTTGTGCTACCCTGCAGGTGACAAAGGGAGACAGCAAAAATGCTAAAAAGAAGAATAATAAGAAAACAAGCAAAAATAAGAGCAGCCTGAGTAGGGGCAATAAGAAAAAGCCTGGTATGCCTAATGTATCTAATGACCTCTCACAGAAACTGTATGCCACCATGGAGAAACATAAAGAGGTAAGATGCAGCTACAAGAAATTGGAAAAGCACAGCAAGATTCCTAAAAAAGACTGCCCATCCCAATTAGCATTTATGACATGAGCAAGAGATCATTTGAAATTCAGAAGGAAGAAATATTTGAGGGGTAATTTGGGAGGGAAAAAAGGGTAGTTAGAGTAGATAACAGAAAAGGAAATGTTTGGCTTTCTTTAGCAATGCAGTTGTGTTACAAATCCTAGGTGTTGGATTGTGTCTTATTTAAAATTACAAGCATAGTTTGTTGAACCTTTGTCCTTGTTTTTCAGAAGATTGGCTTTGTGTGCATTTTTGCTGTTTAACCAAGCTTCTTAGAACTCCACTGGGGGCATTCTAATTTGTCTATAATGACACTTTGGGGGAAAAAATGAATAAGAATATGGACTGTTAGCACTTCTGAAAGTGAATTAGGAAAAAAAATTGGAAAAAAAAACTTTCACATATGTACTTACAACATTGCTTATTTGTTGTAGGTAGTTTGGGAAAATAACTAGATGTGGGCTTTTCTTTCCCTTTTAACATATGTAAGATAAAATCATAGATACTTGAAGAGTAATTCATGTCAGTATTTTTTAAATATCTCAGTTCGATTCTTTGTTCTCAGTCCTTAATAGGAAGTGGCAGTTAATATGGAGAGGAAACTGGAAGTTTGATTTTAGGTTTGTAAAACCTAAAAATTGGCTAAAATTTTCTTTGAGAAATAGTTAGCAAAAACCCCTTTTTAAGAGAGGTATTCATTATAATAGTGCTTGACCTATATAGGTATTTAAAATATTTTTTCATACACTCTACCCCACCTCTTTTTTTATTTTAAATTAGTCCAATGAGCTGATACAGTCATGGAAGTATAAGTAATAGAGGCTTTAATACCATTACCTCAGCCATGTTAGTGAAATGGAAGGATTCCTGAGTTCTAGTAGGTACCTCACTTAGGTAGTGATTACCAGTTAATAGTTACTAGCTATTTCAACGATTATCCATGCCACAAAATTCTAGGCAATAGGGAAAGGCCATTAGAAAATACGTAAAATAGGTTTGACTTAAATTGTGCACACTTCCCATGACATTTAATAAGTTTGTCGATTTAGGTTATAAATTTAGATATTGCCGAGTGTGATAGCTCACGCCTGTAATCCCAACACTTTGGGAGGCAGAGGTAAACGGATTGCCGAGCTCAGGGGTTCAAGACCAGCCTAAGCAATATGTCAAGACTTCAACTCTACAACAAATCAAAAAAATTCCTTGCCAAGGCAGCGCATGCCTATGGTTCCAGCTACTTGGAAGGCTGAGGAGGAAGGATCACCTGAGCCTAGCGAGTTGAGGCTGCGGTGGCTGGGAGCCTGCCATTGCAGTCCAGGCTGGGTGACAGAGTGAGACTCCCACTCTAAGTAAAAAATAAATAAATTCAGGTATTGGCTTGGCTATAGGGTAACAGAAGCAGCAAACATCGCTGCCCCAAGGGTATTACAAGTTTGGCAAGTTCCAGATTTCTTGAGGTGATGATGTTTTATGTTTTATTAGTTTAACAAGAGTTTCTCATTATATACTAATTAATTTCAAATACGTATATAATTCCAGCTTCTTGTTGCACCCTTTACACTAACAGTTATGGGAATTAATGGTGACTTTTTGGTTTTGGTTTTTGGTTTTTTTTTTTTAGTTGAAGTCTGTCTCTGACACCCAGACTGGAGTGCAGTGGCCGCTCCCAGCCACCGCAGCCTCGACCGCCTCTGCCTTCCAAGTAGCCAGAACTACAGGCGTACGCTACCACACCTGGCTAATTTTTGATTTATTGTAGAGATGAGGTCTCGCCAAGTTGCCCGGGCGGGTCTCGAACCCTCGGGCTCAGGCAATCCACTCACCTCAGCCTCCCAAAGCGCGGGATTACAGACTGAGCCACCGAGCCTGGTTGATGGTGGTTTTTTTCCCAAATTTCAGTGAACAAAAGTTTTATTATTCAGCAACAAAGGACTAAGGAGATTTTTTTTTTCCTAGTGGGGGTCTTACTCTGTTGTCCAGACTGGAGTGTAACGGCATGATCATGGCTCACCACAGCCTCCAATTCCTGGGCTCAAGCAATCCTGCCTCAGCCTCCATACTTGATCCTTCTGCATCAGCGTCCATACTGTAGGCACGTGCCACCACACTCAGCTTATTTTTTTAATTTTTTGTAGAGGAGAGTTCTTGCTATGTTGCCTAGGCCCATCTCAAACTCCTGGGCTCAAGCAAGCTTCCCTCCTCAGCTTCCCAAAGTACAGGAATTACAGGAGTAAGCCACTGCATCTAGTCCTCCTCCCATTTGGAACACTTTTCAAGCCTTATTTCCTTTCATGACATGGGCATTCTGTTGATGAGTCCAGGCTGGTTGTTTTGCAGAATATCTCTCTGTTTGGATTTGTCTGATTGGTATCTTGTAGTTAGATTCAGGTTAAACCATGGATTTCTATCTTAAAACAGAGTGCTTTGAGGCAAGATGACTGAAGGAATTATTGAATGAACCTTTTTAAATCACTGAATACAAATTGTAAGTCTGTTCCAGTTAGTCTCAAAGAAGAGACCAGAGATGGGAAGCAGTAGAGGAGCAGTGCCCAGTCTGACATACCTGTCTGCTGTGGCAGTGCACTAGTTCGAGTCAGAATGAGATTGTCTATTTTACAGGTCTTTTTTGTGATCCGTCTCATTGCTGGCCCTGCTGCCAACTCCCTGCCTCCCATTGTTGATCCTGATCCTCTCATTCCCTGCGATCTGATGGATGGTCGGGATGCATTTCTCACCCTGGCAAGGGACAAGCACCTGGAGTTCTCTTCACTCCGAAGAGCTCAGTGGTCTACCATGTGCATGCTGGTGGAGCTGCACACACAGAGCCAGGACCGCTTTGTCTACACCTGCAATGAGTGCAAGCACCATGTGGAGACACGCTGGCACTGCACTGTCTGTGAGGTAGGCACCAGGTTGTGGTAAGGAGGCAGCGGGCTCTGCAGGGTTCTCACCACCTGAGTGGCAGTACAGCCACATGTTATGTAGGCCTGTGGGGTTCAAGGGGCCTGGCCTCATGTTTGGCAGAGCCAAAGAGGCTAGTTTTTGTTGTATAAAAAGGGCTTATCTAGCCCAAACAGAATATCTAAAATACTTCTGAATGACTTAAATGTTGGAGAGTTTACCTCCTATGTTTTTCCCCTAGGATTATGACTTGTGTATCACCTGCTATAACACTAAAAACCATGACCACAAAATGGAGAAACTAGGTCTTGGCTTAGATGATGAGAGCAACAACCAGCAGGCAGCAGCCACCCAGAGCCCCGGAGATTCTCGTCGCCTGAGTATCCAGCGCTGCATCCAGTCTCTGGTCCATGCCTGCCAGTGCCGGAATGCCAATTGCTCCCTGCCCTCCTGCCAGAAGATGAAGCGCGTTGTGCAGCATACCAAGGGGTGCAAACGAAAAACCAATGGCGGCTGCCCAATCTGCAAGCAGCTCATTGCCCTCTGCTGCTACCATGCCAAGCACTGCCAGGAGAACAAGTGCCCCGTGCCGTTCTGCCTCAATATCAAGCAGAAGCTCCGGCAACAGCAGCTGCAGCATCGGCTACAGCAGGCCCAGATGCTCCGCAGGAGGATGGCCAGCATGCAGCGGACCGGTGTGGTGGGGCAGCAGCAGGGCCTGCCTTCCCCGACGCCCGCCACTCCAACCACACCAACCGGCCAGCAGCCAACCACCCCACAGACGCCCCAGCCCCAGCCCGCCGCTCAGCCTCAACCCACCCCTCCCAACAGCATGCCACCCTACTTGCCCAGGACTCAGGGCGCTGGCCCTGTGTCCCAGGGTAAGGCAGCCGGCCAGGTGACCCCTCCAACCCCTCCTCAGACTGCTCAGCCGCCCCTTCCAGGGCCCCCACCTGCCGCAGTGGAAATGGCAATGCAGATTCAGAGAGCAGCTGAGACACAGCGTCAGATGGCCCATGTGCAAATTTTTCAAAGGCCAATCCAGCATCAGATGCCCCAGATGACTCCCATGGCCCCCATGGGTATGAACCCACCTCCCATGACCAGAGGTCCCAGTGGGCATTTGGAGCCAGGCATGGGGCCAGCAGGGATGCAGCAACAACCACCCTGGGCCCAAGGAGGATTGCCTCAGCCCCAGCAGCTACAGTCTGGAATGCCAAGGCCAGCCATGATGTCAGTGGCTCAGCACGGTCAACCCTTGAACATGGCTCCACAACCAGGATTGGGCCAAGTAGGTGTGAGCCCACTCAAACCAGGCACTGTTTCTCAACAAGCCTTACAAAACCTTTTGCGGACTCTCAGGTCTCCCAGCTCTCCCCTACAGCAGCAACAGGTGCTTAGTATCCTTCATGCCAACCCCCAGCTGTTGGCTGCATTCATCAAGCAGCGGGCTGCCAAGTATGCCAACTCAAATCCGCAACCCCTCCCGGGGCAGCCTGGCATGCCCCAGGGGCAGCCAGGGCTGCAACCACCTACCATACCAGGTCAGCAGGGGGTCCACGCCAGTCCAGCCATGCAGAACATGAATCCCATGCAGGCAGGCATCCAGAGGGCTGGCCTGCCTCAGCAGCAGCCGCAGCAGCAACTTCAGCCACCCATGGGAGGGATGAGCCCTCAGGCTCAGCAAATGAACATGAATCACAACGCCATGCCATCGCAGTTCCGAGACATCTTGAGACGACAACAGATGATGCAGCAGCAGCAGCAGGGAGCAGGGCCAGGAGTAGGCCCTGCAATGGCCAACCATAACCAGTTCCAGCAACCCCAAGGAGTTGGCTACCCCCCGCAGCAGCAGCAGCAGCAGCGGATGCAGCATCACATGCCACAGATGCAACAAGGGAATATGGGACAAATTGGCCAGCTCCCCCAGGCCTTGGGAGCAGAGGCAGGAGCCAGTCTACAGGCCTATCAGCAGCGACTCCTTCAGCAGCAGATGGGGTCCCCTGCTCAAGCCAACCCCATGAGTCCGCAACAGCATATGCTCCCAAACCAGGCCCAGTCCCCACACCTGCAAGGCCAGCAGATCCCTAATTCTCTCTCCAATCAAGTGCGCTCTCCCCAGCCTGTCCCTTCTCCACGGCCACAGTCCCAGCCCCCCCACTCCAGCCCATCCCCAAGGATGCAGCCTCAGCCTTCTCCACACCACGTTTCCCCACAGACCAGTTCCCCACATCCTGGACTAGTAGCTGCCCAGGCCAACCCCATGGAACAAGGGCATTTTGCCAGCCCGGACCAGAATTCGATGCTTTCTCAGCTCGCTAGCAATCCAGGCATGGCAAACCTCCATGGTGCAAGCGCCACGGACCTGGGACTCAGCACCGATAACTCAGACTTGAATTCAAACCTCTCACAGAGTACACTAGACATACACTAGAGACACCTTGTAGTATTTTGGGAGCAAAAAAATTATTTTCTCTTAACAAGACTTTTTGTACTGAAAACAATTTTTTTGAATCTTTCGTAGCCTAAAAGACAATTTTCCTTGGAACACATAAGAACTCTGCAGTAGCCGTTTGTGGTTTAAAGCAAACATGCGAGATGAACCTGAGGGATGATAGAATACAAAGAATATATTTTTGTTATGGCTGGTTACCACCAGCCTTTTTTTTTTCCCTTGTGTGTGTGGTTCAAGTGTGCACTGGGAGGAGGCTGAGGCCTGTGAAGCCAACCATATGCTCCTGCCTTGCACCTCCAATAGGTTTTATTATTTTTTTTAAATTAATGAAAATATGTAATATTAATAGTTATTATTTACTGGTGCAGATGGTTGACATTTTTCCCTATTTTCCTCACTTTATGAAAGAGTTAAAAAGAACATTTCTAAAACCAGAGGAGAAAAGGGGTTAATGTTACTTTAAATTTACATTCTATATATATATAAATATATATAAATATATATTAAAATACCAATTTTTTTTCTCTGGGTGCAAAGATGTTCATTCTTTTAAAAATGTTAAAAAAAAAATCCCTTTCTTCCCCTCAAGTCAACTTTTGTGCTCCAAAAAATTTTCTATTCTGTAAGTCTGAGCGTAAAACTTCAAGTATTAAAATAATTTGTACATGTAGAGAGAAAAATGACTTTTTCAAAAATATACAGGGGCAGCTGCCAAATTGATGTATTATATTGTGGTTTCTGTTTCTTGAAAGAATTTTTTTCGTTATTTTTACATCTAACAAAGGAAAAAATTAAAAAGAGGGTAAGAAACGATTCCGGTGGGATGATTTTAACATGCAAAATGTCCCTGGGGTTTCTTCTTTGCTTGCTTTCTTCCTCCTTACCCTGCCCCCACCCACACACACACTTTCTGTAAAACTTGAAAATAGAAAGCAAAAACCCTCAACTGTTGTAAATCATGCAATTAAAGTTGATTACTTATAAATATGAACTTTGGATCACTGTATAGACTGTTAAATTTGATTTCTTATTACCTATTGTTAAATAAACTGTGTGAGACAGACACCCTGACTTTGTTTCGCTTCTTGATAGCACATTTTGAATTAGAAATACACTGGGTTAAGTGCCTGATGCTTAGGATTCAGAGGGAAAAATGGAAGCATTAAATTACAGCCTCCTTAACTATTATATATCCATTCACAGAGATTTTGGTGAATTTGTCCAAAGTTCAGGAGGAAAGTACTACAAGTGTCAGCTAAATGTCAAGGTTGAAGTGATAGTAGTCATTTAACACCTTGATATATAGAACCTTCTTTTAATGGTTCCCCTAAGGATGACCTCAGGGTCTTCTATTCACCTTCATCTTTTTTTTTTCTTTTTTTTGAGTTGGAGTCTCACTCTGTCACCCAGACTGGAGTGCAGTGGCCGCTCCCAGCCACCAAACCTCGACCTGCTAGGCTCCAGCGATCCTTCCACCTCAGCCTTCCAAGTAGCCGGAATTACAGGCATGCGCTACCATGTCCAGCTGATTTTTTGATTTATTGTAGAGATGAGGTCTCGCTGCCCGGGCGGGTCTCGAACCCGCGGGCTCAGTCAATCCACTCACCTCAGCCTCCCAAAGGCGCGGGATTACAGGCCGAGCCACTGAGCCCGGCTCACCTTCATCTTAACAGGGAAGAAAATGAGGACCTAAGAGGGATCATATCCACATGTAACTCCTTAAGAACCAGAACTTGAAGCTAGGACAACAATACATTCCTTTTTTGCTTTTGCTAACTCCCTATGGAGAAGACAGTTTAGGGAATTGGCTTGAAGGAAAGGAAAACGTCTAGAAATAAAAGAAGGATGAGAGGAAGATTACAACATGAGTCCACTAATGTGCTGAGTGTTCAGAAAATAGGTTATTGATCCTCCAGCTGAACACTACATTGACTATGACAAGTTTTTAAAATTAGAGTATTTCTGAACTGGTTTGGCATCAGTTGGCAGATCTGTTGTCTCATACGACTGCTAAAGGCTAAAGGAGGTTCTCAAATATCTAGCTCAAACTTGTTTCTATTTTACAGTCTCAAAACACATAACTGGCATCTCAATTTGAGATGAATTTACATAGCATTAATCACAGCCAGCCCCAGAAAAATGTATTTAAGCTTCCACTTGCTTCAGGTCACCGACCCATTAGATTATACATGGACAGAGCACACGTGAAAACCATGCCACCCTGCCCTCAAGCTAACCTCGTGGTCTAGAAAAGAAGAATGATGCTTAAAGTGCTGAGCGATAGAAGTAACGCAAGAGGGAGTAGACTGGATAAAACATTTCTGGAAAGGATGTATGGAAGTGGGAATCTTGGAAGGGAGAAGACTGGGGAAGGGAGACGAGTGAGGAAAAACTCACCCGGTATCATTCAACTCCCTTGGATTAGGGGCCCAGGATTGATCTGAGCTCCCAAAAAAATATTTAGAATTCCCTTCCATTTACAAACAGTAAACTTTTTTTTTTTTTTGAGTTGGAGTCTCACTCTGTCTCCCAGACTGGAGTGCAGTAACCACTCACGGCCACCGCAGCCTCGACCTGCTGGGCTCCGACGATCCTTCCGCCTCAGCCTTCCAAGTAGCTGGAACTACAGGCGCGTGCTACCATGCCCGGCTGATTTTTTTTTTTTTATTGCAGAGATGAGGTCTCGCCAAGTTGCCCAGGCGGGTCTCAAACCCGTGTGCTCAGGCAATCCACTCACCTTAGCCTCCCAAGGCGTGGGATTACAGGCTGAGCCACCGAGCCCGGCTAACTCATTTTTCATAGCTCTGCCTCTTTGGCTATAGACAACTGGGTTGAAGTGTTAATACCAGCACATTCTCACTGCAGTGTTGAAAGCAGGAAGTGGGGACAATAATCATTAAATAGACTGGAAGAAGAAAAACAGCTGCCCTTACCCAGATCAGAAGTAGTGCTAGGGAGGGAATAGATGTGGATTATTCCAGAGTCAGCAATACAGGAAGGTGATTTCAATCTATGTGCTGTTTTTTATTGTTTGTAATAAATAGTTGGGAAGAGAGAAAAGGAGCCACAAGTCTCCCAACTGGGCTGTTAGAACACATCAATCTAGGAAATGGGCCCAATGGGGCCTAGCAGTATTCCAGGAGCTTTCGTTTACTTAGCTCAATAACAGCCCCACTCAACAAAAACAAGCTCAGGTGAAGTAACTTGCTTAAGGTCTCACAGCCAGTAAAAGGAATACTGGGACAAAGGTTTGCTAAACTCCAAAGCCCTTCCCCATCCTTTATCTCCTGTAGTGTAGAGAAGCCCTCTTGATGACTGCAAATCAACTAATATATATGATACAGGGGCCTTCTTAAAAGCAAATTCAAAATACAGACTGGAAAAAGGGCTGGGGAATAACTGGAACCATAAAAACAAGCTCAGGTTTCTCGTTTTACAACCAAGGAAACATCTCCAGACAGAGCATTTCCTGCAGTGATATGTTCATCATGAGGTCATCCTATTTAAAGAGGACAAAGGCCGGCATCAAAAATAAAATGTAGGAATAAGTTTAGCAAGAGATTTATAAATTGAAAACTACAAAACATTGTTGGAAGAAATTAAAGATCTAAATAAACGGAAAGGCACCAGCCTAGGCAACACAGACCTCACCTCTACACAAAAATCAACCAGACTGTAATCCCGTGCTTTGGGAGGCTGAGGTGAGTGGATTGCCTGAGCCCGCAGGTTCGAGACCCTCCTGGGCAACTTGGCGAGACCTCATCTCTACAATAAATCAAAAAAATCAACTGGGCATGGTAGTGCATGCCTGTAATTCCAGCTACTTGGAAGGCTGAGGGGAAGGATTGCCGGAGCCCAGCAGGTCGAGGCTGCAGTGGCCGGGAGCAGCCACTGCACTCCAGTCTGGGCGACAGAGTGAGACTCCGACTCAAAAAAAAAAAAAAAAAAATCAATCAGGAATGGTGATGCACACCTGAAGTCCTAACTACTCAGGAGGCTGAGGCAATCTCAAAAAGCCTGATGCTTTTGAGGGATAAGTTTATTATCCTTCATACATGTCACTATCCAGAAACTAACTCGAAAGTGAGAATAAGCTGCAGATAACATCTCCCAATTCATAATCCTAACCATGACATTAGAGTCATGTCCTATTAACGAAACATCAAAGGTTACTCTGTGCAAAACGCATGGGGACAGAAGAGAGGGGACAACATGAAGTGGTCAGAGCAAATTATAAAATCAGAAGATGTGTACTAATGTGTATGAAGAGAACTCAACCGTTCTATACCATTAGGCAAGTAAATGACTTCAACTGTCTCATTTAAGATAATACATTGTCTTACCATCTTACTGGGTAGTTTTAAGACAAATGAAGTCAGGCATGGTGGCTCATGCCTATAATCCCAGTTTTGGGGAAGCCGAAGTGAGACGATTGCTTGAGGCCAAGCGTTTGAGACTAGCCCAAACAACATAGTGAGTCCTCAAAAATTAGTTGGGCGTGGGTGGTGCAAGCCTGTAGTCCCAGCTACGCAAGAAGCTGAGGCGGAAGTATTGCCTGAACCCACGAGGTTGAGGATGCAGCGAGATGTGATGATCTTGCCCCTGCAATCCAGCCTGGGCAACAGAGGCCTTGACTCAAAAAAAGAAAAAGATAAATGAGTGTTGGCAAAGATGTAGAGAAATTAGAATTACAAATTATTGGTAATCATGTAAAATGGTATAGAACTGTAGAAAACGGTATGGTGTTTCCTCAACAAATAGAATTACCATATGATCCAGCCAATTCTACTTTTGCATATGTATATAAAAGAACTGAATGCAGGGACTCAAACCGATGTTTGTATACCCATGTTCATAACAGCATTATTCAAACAGCCAAAAAGCAACAGCTCAAAGGTTCATCAATGGATAAACAAAATGATATATAGATAAAATGAAATATTATTCAGCCTTGAAAAGAATGAAATTCTGAAAAAATAAAATGCTACAACATGGATGAAGTTTAAAGACATTATGCTAAGTGAAATAAGCCAAATGCAAAAGAATCAATATTATTTAATTCCACCTATACAAAGTATCAGGAGTATTCAAATTCATAGAGACAGAAAGTCAAATGGTAGTTACCAGGAACTGGGAGAGGGGGAAATAATGCATTACTGTTTACTGGGTACAGAATTCAGTTCTGGTAGCACAACAATGTGAACATACTTAGAGATGAGGTCTCACTATGTTGCCCAGGCTGGTCTTGAACTCCTGGACTCAAGCAATCCTCCCACCTCAGCCTCCTAAAGTGCTGGGATTACAGGCATGAGCCACCACGCCCAACCTGAAGTGAACATACTTAATGCCAATGAACTGTACACTTAAAAATAGTAAATTTTATGTGTATTTTGCACAATAAAAGAGAGGATGAGGTGAGTGGACTGCCTGAGCTCGCGGGCTCAAGACCCACCTGGGCAACTTGGAAAGACCTCATCTCTACAATAAAATAAAAAAAATCAGTCGGGCATGGTAGAGCGTGCCTATAATTCCAGTTAATCAGAAGGCTGAGGCGGAAGGATCGCCGGAGCCCCGCAGGTCGAGGCTGCAGTGGCCGGGAGTGGCCACCGCACTCCATTCCAGTCTGGGCAACAGAGTGAGACTCCAACTCAAAAAAAAAAAAAAGACTAAATGAAATCCCATTAATGAACATGTGTTATAAACTATAAAGCTCTGATCCATGCACTATTATTTCTTTCCCTCCCGGATGCTGCAATCAATTAGCCAAAAAGAGCAAACTAGCCAGGCTCGGTGGCTCAGCCTGTAATCCTGTGCCTTTGGGAGGCTGAGGTGAGTGAATTGCCTGAGCCCGCGGGGTTTGAGACCCGCCTGGGCAGTGAGACCTCATCTCTACAATAAATCAAAAAATCAGCCGGGCGTGGTAGCGCATGCCTGTAATTCCGGCTACTTGGAAGGCTGAGGCGAAGGATTGCGGGAGCCCAGCAGGTCGAGGCTGCGGTGGCCAGGAGCGGCCACTGCACTCCAGTCTGAGCGACCGAGCGAGACTCCAACTCAAAAAAAAAAAA